CAAAATCAGGCTCCCTGGCTGAGCCTACCGGTGATTTGGGAAGACTTTTCAATTAAGAAAAACCCCAGAGGGGACCAGAGGGGGTGGTGGAGAGAGGGAGTGGGGAGTGACAGGAGTCAGGAAGCAAGATCCCTTGACCCCTCTTTTTCGGAGGAGATGTGGATCGACTCTTCCAGGCACTGTGATGGAAAAGAGGGTCCAAGCGCCACCCGGGAGCCCCCGAACGCCTTTCTCAGGAGCACGTTTCAGGTCAATACACTTCGTTCAAAGCTGTGATTTTGCTCTCTGCCAGGGGAACATCCTGGATTTACCGTCGGCTGTCTTCCTTAATTTGAACCTGGGAACCACTTTGGGCTTATCTCGGTCAAGAAAAGCAAGACGAAACTTGCCGTGAACAAAGCAATAAATGAAATGCATACTTGTGCCACACTCAGCACGTTCCTTCAGAAATAGGATTTCTGGTTTGCTTTTCAGTGAAGACCAAATCCAATTCTCTCCGTTCGGTGTACGAAGCTGCCACAGTTTAGGAGAAACCTGTGTCCAGAGTGTGTCTAGCGGTTATCTCTGAGCTGTATCGAGATGTGTGTGTGCATAAAAGAGAGAATTAAGGGCTCTGTAACCATGTTTGCCTCAAATGAAGAGGATTCATTTCCAGTGTCATTAAACTTAATCCATAATTATGTAAACAGCCATCTAAGCACGCATGTATGTATGACTCACAAAGCAAGCCAGCCGCAGACTAATCCTTTGCCCTCTGACAGAGCTTTTGCAGATGCCAGTGCCACAATGAACCCTAAATATGCCTCACAGAGCGTCGGTGGAGCTATCAGGCAATTCTGTCGGGTCTTCCTAGGGAAGAAGTCAGCAGTGAGTGCCACCGGCCAGGGCTGAACCCTTTTGCAAAGGGTTCAAAGGTCAACACGACCAGCCTCGGAAAAGGTTAGAAAAGTTAAGGCCTGGAGAAATGCTGGAAGAGGAACCACCAAGAAAATCCAGGGGCAAAAGTTGCTCTCTCTCTCTCTCTCTCTCTCTCTCTCTCTCTCTCTCTTCTACGAGGACCGCTCAGGGGCCTTCCAGCTCAACAATTCCATGCTTCTATGATGCTCCGCATCCCCTCCAGACATGGAGGCCTGGTCTGGCACCACCTGGCAACTGCCCAGGAACGCAAGCTGATTCTAGAGTGGCTCTGGAGGGCGGAAGAAGAAAATCCACCAAGCCACTGGTGTGTGTGTGTGTGTGTGTGTGTGTGTGTGTGTGTGTGTGTGTGTGGGTGTGTGTGTGTGTGTGTGTGTGTGTGTGTGTGTGTGTGTGTGTGCGTGTGTGTGCTGCTGAAGGCAGGGATCCTTCTTGCCATCTTGGTCACTTGTGGCCAAGGGCCAGAGCCCATTGGATGAGTACCACCTCCAGGAATCTGCTCGCTGAAGAGTTTCCAAATGCCGACTAATGATACACACGGCCTCTCCTGGCGAGCAGTGGCCAGACAGGATTGCCTCATCTCGACCAAACTCCCTCCACCATGACATTGTTCCAGGATGGCCTAAGCCTGCGAGAGAAGCCACAGCATCCTTGAGCTGCCAACACAAACCCGGGACTGTAATGCCAAATATTAGTGTACTATTTATGCTTGGTTTTCCTATGAGTCATTTTCCATCCTTCCCGTCTGTCTCTTTCAAAGATATGATTTTAAAAAGGAAAACATTCGTTTATCTATTGAGAAGTCAGTTCACGGCTTTCTGGACGGTGGGCCGGGCGGTGATGACCCTGGGCGGAGGCTCCTGCCACTTGGCGGGAAACCTCCACACCTTAAGAGGAGGTGTGGGACCATCTGGTGGAACCAGGAAGGTTCTGCAGTCGAATGCCTCCCCCTCGGTGACTTGTGTCGAGGCGGCTATTGTCCCCTGGCGATTCCCTTTCCTGGGCTGGCCCTGGATATGAGCTGCAGTTCTGCTGCACTCTGATAAGGCTGAATTAGTGGATGTCTCCAGAAAAGCTCACCTTGACATCTGACTGTCTTTAAGGTGCCACAACACTGTGTAGAGATGGGGTGGAGTCAGAATGCACTTGTACCGACTAACAAGCTGATTTGTTTGAAAACAACACCTTTCTGGATAAAGGGAAGTTCACCTTTTTGGGTCCTGTGAGGAATTGCCTCTTAATCTTCCCTGTGCAAGGACAAAGGGTGGGGTTGTGTATAAAATCAGTCAAACCCCTCCCCGCTTCCTGCCCTCCAGACAGATATTGTAGCATGTGTGTAGAGAGGGGGCTTGTGATGAATCTTTGCAAAGAGTCTGAAAGCGTTCGCCTCATTTTCTTGGCACACTCTCAAGAAATGTGGGACGTGTTCGCTCCAAGCAAGGTGCTCGCAAAGGCCAAGTGATAACAGAAAAGGGAAACCAGGGGCATCCCTAAGGGCCCAGCTAGGACTTGGTGGGCCACTCCCATCCCTTCGGACAGAATCAGACGTTCCACCTTGTGAAGGCAATCATTGCAACTCAAGTACATCTTACGGGTGTTGGAAGGAACTGGCACACAGGAACACGCGGGTCAAGCAAGGGGCGGGACATGAATGACTGAGAGATCAACCAGCCAAAGAGACTGAGGTCCTTCCACCCACAGTAAGAAGAAAAATGCTAGAAGCACTTGAAATGGGGGACTGACTTATCCCAAGGTGCTGAGAACCTCTTGGATCGTGGGGATGACCAGCCTACCCGTTTCCCCATTTCATAGGGTATGGATGCAAAGCCATAAATCTCTTCAGGCAATAATCCTCCTCCTTCATCAAGACTGCTTACCGCCCTGCGCTTCACTGTGACTCTCTAGAGTCCAACGGAGACTTTTTTTCTAAAATCACCAATGAGCAGGCTTCATGGGCCCCGTGTACAGGTACCCCTTAAGCTCCCCATAGATCACAACAGGTTGGTGGTTCTTGCATCTCCCAGGTCTCTCCAGCATCCCCATCAAGCACACTGCATTTTTCTCAGGTTGGAGAGAGGATGATCAGGTGACATTTCTCTCTTTACACCTCTTTGCTCAGAGACTAGAAGGCTGGGGTGAGGGGGATCTGCCAAGGCTATTCTGGTAGACCGGCCATAACTGCAGTCACAGCTACTATTATGATTCCTACACAGTTATATCCCACCTGTTTGGTGCAAAAGAATGGCTTGCCAATTGCAACTTCACACTGCGCAGTGCAGGTGAACTGGGGTGCCGAGAGGGGGGATTTTTGGCCCAGCCCAGGGCCCTGGAAAGGAGGCAGCGTCCATGTGTGCCCTCCTCGTCAGGACTCAGAAAGGCCACCTTTTGGAGGGGCCCAGATGGCCGTCCCGGCCAAGGATGTTGGGAGAGTCAAGCCAAAAGGATATCTTGCAAGAGAGCCCACGGGCCCCACTCCAGTCCATCTCCTTTCCCTTCCGTATGACGCTTGAGAATTTTATGCTAAGGATGTACAAAAATGTGGCTTCACATAAATGTTTCGAAAATGTATTTTCTCACAAAACGCATGCTTCTAAACTTATTTCTCTCATCCTCCCTCTCCCTCCCACATGCTCTCTCTCTCTCACACACACACACGCACACACACAAAGAGAGCGAGACAGACAGACACATGCATATGCCTTTTTAAATGTATTTTCTCTCCAAACTCATCTGCATGAAGAAACGCACTGAAATGTTCAAGCAGCGCAAAAGCCAGCTCACGGAGGGTGAAAACAGCCACCCGTTCATCCAGGAGGGGCGACGGCACCGGTGGGCTGCCTTCAGAAGCTCCAACTATCCACTTATCTGACCCGGCTAGTCCCTCTTTCTGCGAAAGATCAGGGAGGAGAAGAGCAGGAGGAGAACAGGAGGGAGGGGGGCTCCCCTGGGATTCCTGACCCACTGTCGAAACTCAACATTGAAGTGGAACTCAGAGAAGTTACTTTTTTGAACTGCACCTCGTCGAGTTCCCTGGCCTGTGTGGGCAGCAGCCATGCTGGCTGAAGGCGCTGTCCGAAGGTTTTTCCCAAGCTTTGTCTTCCAGTCAATTAGGCAATGCAGATATTTAAACCAAGACAAGCGATGCCAATGGTGAGAGCTGTGCTCAGAAACCGGGTGTCAAAATCACAGTGTGCGATCCTTGCACGCTCATCACTTTCCCTGTCTGTTAAGGAAGCGCCTGCCTCCAGGGCAATTTTGCAGAGGGTTTGTGCATGTTTACCCCTAACGAGGACGTGCTAATTAGCACATCTGTTTTGATCCCTGTCTTGGGGGTTCCCATCAATTTGGTGCCTTTGAATGTTCTGATTTCTATCACGACTGTAGCCCCTCAGACAATATGGCTTCAACATGATGTCTGGAGCAATTACTATATAGACGCACGACCAATTCTCTCAACACCATCTCTAGACAAGGAAACAGACACTAATATAACCACAGAAATGCTTCACGTAACAAAGGCAGCACAAGAACAGTTTCACCAGACACAATGTCACTGATTTCAGAGCAGCTGATCTCAAAGCAGACATTCAAAAGTAGATTTGTAAGGGACACCGATAAAGTGGAATATGTCCATGAATCCCAACGTGCATCTGGAAGCTAAATGTGCACTATAATTAATAATAACAAAATAAGCTAGTTTTTACTACTCTCCTACATATATACTTGCAGAATTGTGTTCTTTGGCAAAATCCTGGCATCAACACAAACCACCTTTTCCTGGGAGCAGAATCCACTGCTTCAGCACTTCAGAAGCAAAAGCTGGTGGGTTAACTAAGAGGCTCTTTGCATTAGTAATGTTTTTTGCCCCCTTCCTATTCCACTCAGCACCCACCTCCACAACCATGTAAACCATCCGTAAACCGGTAGCCCAATTTTGCACTCCATCTGTCCAAAGAAATGGGTTATAATCCACAAAAGTTAACACTGAAGTGAATCTGTTAGTTACAAGTGTGTTGCAAGACTTTATGACGGGACTGGCATAGTTTGAAATGAAAAGGCTTATGTCAGAAATATTTTGTCCTTACCGTAAAAAGATTCAGCACGTATAAGAAAGGTTTATCCTTCCAGATCTGCAGGTCTGCCAGCATATCTAGGGGGGAGAAGAAAGAATTGTTAATTTACTTAAGGAAGCTACAATGCACCTGTGCAATATGCTTTGATAGAGAGGATGATGTTCAGAGAGCTAAGGATAGTCTGGAAGAGGAATACCACTCTGTGGTGGGCATGATTAGACTATCATCCCCTCAAGTAAACGAAGCTTGCAGGATTTTGTGTGTGGAAACCTAGAAGGCCTGTTTAATGAGCAGGAAAAGAAAACAATCCATGTCTACACCAGGAGTGAACCATTTTTGGCCCTCCCAATGTGGTTGGGCTGCCGTCCCCTTCAGCCCCAGTCAACGTACCCCAAAATGCAGGAGGGCAGAAACCGGTGCCCAACGGTGTCAAGTTGCCCCCCCCAGGCCTACTCTGTGAGAAATGGAGCCCCTCCCAAGCCGCTTTCAAATCTCTTTTTTGGAAGAAAAACAAAACACCATTCTCCATCCTTGGCAGTGCCGATTCCCACACCCTCGTGGACTGAAAACAGCCCCCCCTCCACCCGCCCCAGTTGGACCGGGATGCAAAATCCATGTGGATTCCATGTTTCCATGTAAAGAAAGGGCCCCTGGCCACAACTTCTAAGGGTTCTCCCAGCTGCTGTCCTTACATGTCCCACGTGAATCTCTCTCCTATCTGCTAACTCGTTGCAGATTCAGTGCATGTCAGAAGCCAGCCAAAGAGGAGAGGGAGGGAGCTGGGAGGGCCCTTCGCGTTCTGTTCCACCTCGTGCATCATCCCCAAAGCATCCTGGCCAAATCTGGA